TACAATACGACGATCGATAAAATGTATATCTACTATCTTACTGATGAACGTCGATACCGTGTACATATGTGTATATATATATATATATATCGTATTGACGCTCCATTATGTCCAGATGTTTTGGTCAAGCAATAAAATATTTTTCGCAGCTATAATTGCTGCCATCATCATGTTTACTATCACCTTCGATTGCTCGTATTGACAATTTTTGAACTCGTGTATGGCCATAAAGGAAGTTCCTGGACGGCGTTATGACTCTATCGCGTTACATCTAGCTGCGATTTATGACGCCTGTTCTGTGCTATCGTTCGGTGACTTGTTCTTCTGGTGTTTGTCATGCAAAAGTATCTTATGTGTCACCTACATGCGTAGATATTCGTGTATAATTGTCTGTGTTATTTACATAAATAGGCCATTTTATTTTCAAGCCTGATTTTATTCGTTGTTGACCATATTATTGGTTGTCGTTTATTAGCCGTTTAGGCCGCACTAGGCACAGGCACAGGCGATGATAGGAGAAAAAAGCAAAAACAAAAAGGACACGATCCGCATAATGTCATGTTTGCTAGGAAATACTTATTTACGGCGCAAACGAGGCACAGCAATCAAGAAGAGATATATTCTCTCAAGACAGAAACGACACCCAGGACAGGTGATTTAGATTGGTAAAATTGGAGTAAAATTTCGCTTTTTCGACATGTAGTTACTAGGCGCCTTGTCTAGAACTGAACTAGACATTAATATAGGTTCAAACAGTTGTGTATCTGACGGGATCAAGGATCGTGTATTAGCCATACTTATAGGTTTACTTGGCTCGTGACGTATTCTGATTGAATCGCTCTTCGCGGTAGGCTTCGTCGTGCAGTTTGTCACCTTATTTCGATGATTTCGACCGTGATAATGAATATAGATTGTAATCAGATACAAGTTATGATGTCTCAATAGCGGTAAAACCGTTGTACGCTCGCAAGCATCAAGAAGCATTACATACACCAGCTAGGCCTACGCTGCAGCCTATCATGATTTAACGTTTATTCGGCACGCACTAAAGTAACGCACTTGCGATCTTCTATCTGTTGGTAATAAACAGGCGAAAATAAAAACGGACAGTTCTGTTTTTATCCTGGTACAATTACTGATTCCAGTGATGCGGTCTTTATCATAATCTTTATCATAAATTCGCTCGTATTATCCGCACTTATCAAGTCGCCGTCTAGTCAACATGTTCTGCTCAATAGCCATCGCATATGGCAAAACCAATTGCTTGTCCAGCTGGTTAAACAATACATTCAAAATAAACTGCGCTTTTTGTGGAACAGGCGTATCGACCTAAACATGCCGTCGATATAAACCGACGTACCATATCGAAATCACGCCGCAAACCTTCGATGTACAATGTCCAATAAGGAGCCATTGTAAATAGATATAACTTTTCAGGCTTCCGTAGTAGCCTCTTCGGCCCCAGTGCACTAGGAGCGAAGACGAAATAGAGTTCATATGAAGTCATCGACGGCGGTTGACAGCGAAACTTCTTTGTCCTTCAAATTGCAGCACACAATCCTACTCTATACTGCCGTTATAGTACTCTATATAGAATACCTTACTTATAGGCAGGACTCAGCCAGTCGACATCTTAACCGATTGAACTCGTTAGGTTCTGTGTAACTACGCTCAAGCTAGGTACACAAAGCATTGCATCAGTACCATTAAATCAGTCTTCGTTCTTGTTATAACTTTATTATTGTTATTATTACATAATATGCTTGGAGAGCTAAAGTGCACACTATACTACTGTTATAAAGTACGACGTCACATGAACATTACATCGTTACAGGCCGTTACGTGTACGGTGTACCTTATAGATTTATCCATATACTGCTAATCCCTTTTTAGGCTCATTCTAATGAGTACGTGTGTTACAATTATCGTTAGCTGGGAGGAGGGGGAGAAGGCTTATTTCCTGGTTACGTCCGCGTACAAAGTTGTATCCAGGTGCGCAGATATCGATAACACCAATAACGGTATCAGTTGCTGTAGTAGCATTTGGTACGTATGGAGTCTGCGAGGGGTCAGCTGATTGACGTGGCATGGCCTTTTGACGAAGGGGACCGTCGTCCGTGGCCAGGATGAAGGTACAGATCGCTTATGTCTGAAATTGGAGTCATCCACCTATCTAGCTTTGGCTTGGGCGGATAGATAATTTCGGGGCAGGAAGACAGACGTTTACTCAATTAGACGTTTCGTTTATAACAGATATTGGCTTTACCCTTTGGTATAGACGGTATTTAAAAAACAATACATGTATTCCTGCTTTCTGCGTGAGCAGAAGTGTCCGAAAAGACGATGAAATTTTGGGGTTGATACTTCCCACACATATAACGTAGCAGGTAGTAACAGTTAACTCACACTTGATTATAACGGCACGCATTGGTAGCCCACTTCGGATGGGTGCGAGAAAGCTCAGCAATACTAATTTTACGATGTAGATTTTAGTTGTGATAGGACTCAATTCGGTAATGGAGTAACGCTTCTGGACGGAATAGAAATTTCAATATAGTAAAATGCTGTTATTTCAGTGTTGAAATTTCTAAATGCTAGAACGTTACGATGGCTGGGAGACCACACAAGTGTCTGTTAGCCATAATGGTGCGGACAATTCAAGCGTGTGTTTTCAACCTATGACAAGGCTCATTTATTACGAATTGTAAATTGCTAAAATAACCTTTGTTTTCACACTCAATAAATCACGCGATCACGTATAGTAACAGGCAACATCTCTTTGCAATGATGTCCTGTAGGCTTACCTGTGCTGAAGATAATTGTGTATAAAAGCATTTATAATCGTTCCCCGATAGAAGACGTTGTCGTCTCTGGTACTCATACACTCAAATTCTGGTACTCATATAAGGTTCGTCAGATTTTCTCAACAACTATTAACTAGATATATTTCATGGTTTCAAGCTAAACAAGAGCGCTTTATTTATTCCTGTTATAATCGAATGTTGTCATTTTAAACGGCAGCAAAGCTCAGAATTTGTGATGTTCTTCTAAAAGCCACCGTCGTCATTTTTCGGTGGTATCGATGATTTCTCAGAAATGTAGAAACTTTAAGCATTTTGAAAATTTAGAAACAAACTCTAATTCACAGCTAATAATAACGGGATGATCCTAGGATATTCTGAAGAATTTTTCACAAATTTACTTAAAAAGCAAAACCTTGGAAACCGGTTGCCGGGCAGCGCTTGTAAGAAGATAATACAACCACACAGCAGGAGCAGGAGCAGGAGCAGGAGAAGTAAAGGATCGACGAACTTCGATGCGCACACTCCTTAAACCGACTCCAAATCCATAATATATTAAAAAACAAAAAAACTAAGTAACAACAAGGAAATAACTAAAGTACCAGGTGGCACTGAAAATGCCGTATAGTGCTGTCCTACTCAGTGACGAGGTATACATATCGCTCCTTGTATATGACTTGTAAGTTCTCACAACTCTTCTAAAAAATACACATTTATCGCAGGTCCCTCAAAATCTTTCTTTCTATAGCAAGCTCTGCAGGCGCCTAACTTGTTAACATTGTCGATAACGTTCCACGCTACAATAAAATGGCTTTTGCCATTTTTATCGTTTCGGCTCCTTTCCTTCACATATTAAGTACTCCAAGTTACGTCGCAGCACGTTACATCACAATCATAATTTGTCATCAAGTGGATAACTAGCTTTTTCTAAGCATAAAGGAGTCATCGCAGTGCAAGTTTATTTCGTTCTCCTTTTTCTGTTTGTCCTTCTTTTTCGGTTCTTAGCTCATGTTTGGTTACGCTAGAAAAAAATTAGCCTAGCGATACATATTAAGCAAAGCGCATAGAGTCAGGTCGCACGGCACAGACTGGTAAACAACCGCCGAATATCTCACAATAGTCATGAGATTCATTACGGATGAACCAGAGACTACTCGTCATCGTAGGAGCGAGCCCCGAATTAGACATACACGCTACAATAAAGCCGTACAGTTTCAGCAATTAGTTTCTTTCAACTCGTTTGGAGCTCGCAACGACACCGACTATCTGGTTAAACTACCGCGTTTGTCGGTGGCCGGGGTATTTTCATGATACCATAACGACTGTAATTTAACAAGCAACGAAAACAACAGCGGCCAACAATCCCGTGCCAAATTTATGAAATACATATAATTTATAAAGTGCTAAATTGTTCTTCATTCGTTCGTCCAACTATAGACGCCATGGACAATATAATGACGACGTCGCGGCAGTAATTTCACCAGCTTCATTTTCGTGGTCTGCTGCTGTCGCCGCTTCAGCTTCCGTTGCCATTACAACTACTGATAATAATAGAAATTATTATCACGTAACAATCATAATAATAGGAACAATGATAACGGCAATATTTGTGGTCGTCATCATTTAGACTCCTGTTGAACGTATTCTCGGTTCTCTTCGGCGATGGCGGCGCCGGGCGCGGCGCAGCAGCGGTAGTAGCAACATCAACACGAGACTGCAGCGTGATGCTGCCATAAATCGCTTCTATGAACCGATTAGCTGTTGTAATTTACCGTCTCTCTTCTACTATTTATGATGCTGTTTTTCCTTTCTAAATTCGAAAACTGTACTTCTTATCCTTTTGTACGTGTGCCATGCACTGCATCTGGGATGTTTGGTCATATATGTCCACCATAACAAGCATAGAAGCATAAAGATAATCCACTGACACTGGACAATTTCGAAACGCCGCTGCGCCACAGGTGGCGAAAGCGGTGGGAATTGGTACTAAATGCTATGCTACGTCTATGATACTACGTCAGTCAAGCTCGACAGCGTTTTTATGGCAGGATAAGCCTCGGAGCTGATTAAGATATTAACGAGAATACTACAGATTATGACATCTGAAGATAGTTCAAATGGATGGTATAAGAAAGACTACCAAGTGGCTTCTTGTGCTGCGAAACTTATTTTTCTTTCTTAACGTGACTTTTAGTCACTGACGTAGCGCTTGGCGGCCGTAGTCTTCGTTGGATGAGAGGTGGAACGAATAGCTTGCAATAGTGAAATCGATAACTTAGTAACGATAAGACAATCGTCTTTAATTTTTACGCTGTAAAACAAAGTACAGCCACTGTGTTTCAACGTTCAATGGCGATCTATGACAGTTCATTAATATCTTTGTTGTCCTTCGCTCATGCTGTACGTGAAATGGGCCACGAAGTGTTCCGATCATAATTTTGAAGTTTGTGTAATATTTGGGGTCCACTCGAGCAAAAAAAAGATGCCTAAGCATCAACTGTTTAGGAGTCGTAATCTCCTATAAAATTAGGCTGTTGTATAGAAATGTTTACATAAAAGCTGCATTTGATTTCGTTGCACTGCTATAATAAATTGTGCTTCATAGTCAACAAAGCGGGATCGCACAACTTCCGCGTGGTACCGATCAGGAGAATAATGTGTAACCAGCAAGTAGTTACAGTTATACGGGACAAAAAAACTGTCAACAGAAAAAACACCGCGCTGTTGAGCCTGCCGGTAAGATCGTCCTACTTGGGAAGCGTTGCTCTTGTTTCTGCTTGTCAAATGTCTGCATGAAAATCTACGATACCTTGAAAACGTTATACTATACCCCACAATCCTTAGTTCACTCTCTGCTATTTGGTTACTTCATGAAAAGGTGCGTATTTATGACCGAAGTGAGAAACTTGTATTGCATTTGGCTGTTTTGTTTGACTTCAGTGTTATATTTCAACGAGATAACGAACCTATAGTAACTTTGCACCATCGAAATGGCATTTCCGCAAAAGATACTTTTCCCGGCATCTATATATTACCATCTAAACAGCAATGGAAAGGTACCACTCGAAGCCAGCGGCAAAAGAAGGTGCGAATCTAGTGATCGAGCCTCACACTACCATGACAAATAACTAGAGATGAGGCCCAGTGCCCGTAAACAGGGTCTACACATCACAACGGTGGAAAACAAATGAAAAAAAAAAAAAGGTAAAAATAAGGATCACGTAAACTGTGAGGTGGGAAATTTGCTTCCCGGTTGCTTTCCCCCTAAACTGTTTCCGCTCCCTTTACAGAATCCTAATTCCTATATGCAGGCACTCGAACAATCAATTATAAGGCGTGCGATATTTTTTCTAATCTGTTCAGCCCAGCTAATCGTTGGCTAACTAATGCCCATTTTGTTGCTACAATCGCATCAACCCATCGAATGAACTGCATCGAACCCGCCATGTGTTGTCTGCCTGGGTTGACGTTCGCAAACATTATTTATGTAATTTGTGCTTAAAATTTGACCGGAAAATAGTCCGTTTAAACATTTCGCTTAACGTAAATTATCTCAATTAGTAAGCAGTGGGTAAAGTTGTTAATGACTAAACTGTGATTTAAACTATTCGTTTTATAAGGTTTCCGGGTCTTTTTTTCTCCTGTTTGACCGTTAATTGCGCGCGACCCGAAGCTTAATATGTGTCAACGAGAAAGCATACAAAACATAAATACGTATTTTTTTTTTAAATTTTCAGAAAAACTGAGGTGTCTTAGTAGCGGAATCTGTGATTTTAATGGGCTTTTTTTGTGCTGTATCACAGAAACGGAAAATGAAGTGGTGGAAAATCGACCTATTTTACTACGGGGGTGTACAACAAACGTCCGATCATTTGTTTTAGTATCATGGCAAACGATACAGAGCTAAATTGCAATTCGTTAGCTCTATAAAATTATTTTATTTATCAAACAAATATCAAATATTTTCTTCTATTACATCTTATTAAAGTATCATTATTTTTACTAAAGGGAGGAACATACATTGAGTTGTACGTATATCAGAACTACTACGAGGTAATAATATACAGCATCGTGAGAAACATTGGAAAGCATAGAGATGAGGCTTAAAAAAAACATAAGAAGAAAAACAGAACGCGTACGGCGGTTGCTATTTATGCCTCACGATTATAGCGAAAGAGGCACCCTTCACGAAGTAAGTTTCGTGTGAGAGCAACCATAATTGGGTTAACTAACTAAGTCTCTAGTTAATTTAATTAAAAAGGTCTAGTAAGTAAAGGACTAAATTGAATGGACGAAGTTAAAAAAAAAATTAATTTAGAAGGCAGTTTATTAACAGTCTTAATGTAAATGCTTATTGGAGTCAAAATATTTTAGATCATGGTTGGGCTTAAGTTTATGGATCCACTAAAGAAGGTTTATTAGAAGTCTGTTTTAGGCATACTAACATTATCGGAGACACAAGGCATTTTGGTTCATCAACGCAAGATGACTTAGTTCTCTTTGAACCTTACACAGTCAACCAAGCCTTGTACAACATTGATTGCATTTTTCTGTACTGACTGCACGTGTTTCTACTATCGGTACGTTCTATAGAATCAAACTACAGAGAAAAACTTCGGAACAACCGAAGTTTTTCATAGGCTGAAGTAGAAGTCGACTTTTCTAATAAGATGCACATAGTTCAATATGTGAAAACTTATCACTTCAGATACCTGACGTCAAGGGCAAGGGCCACTGTATGCTCTACGATACGAATATACGCCTCTAGCTTTTTCCGTACTTATCGTCGTATTGATTATAGAACACTGGACATGAACTATGGATCAGCGTTTCTACCGCCCACAGGCAGCAGCAGCATCAAAAACAATTTGCAGGAACTCCCTACTCCCTACTTGCAGGAACTGTAAGTGTGAGTTGAATATTTAAATCACATACTAAAGTTATGCCCATAATCTGCTAAAGACAAATCTCACGGTTCCAGGTCTCAAATAAGGGCCCTGACGTATGCTGAACAGCGCATCTCGGTTCAGTGTTTCTATTGTTCTTATGTATGTATATGTGCGCCCTTAGAGCTCACATACAGATAATCAAGATTGAAAATCGAGCGAAGCAGTTTATGCAGTAGAAAGCTCTTCTTGATAAATAATTACAGTTGGTGTTAAAGTCATACTTATATATATATATATATAGAGAGAGAGAGAGAGAGTATATTAAAGCGTTGCGCTTGGAAACCGTTGAATCGCTTAGAGAAATAAATATATCAAGTGGCATTCTGTAACAGCTTATTAATTCCGTGCAAAGTATAGCTGTAAATTAAAGTTATGTGAAGTTTACTATTAAGGCGCATAGATTGTAAATCCGTAATATTCCTAATTATAGGGGGGTGACAGTTTTCATCGGCATTTGCTCTGTTCTAAATATCTATTGAAGACCATAATGTTGAAGATCACAACTGGACGGATGCGCTTCGAATGAATGGAAACCCGTTTCAATGAATAACATATTGTTTGTATTTAATATACCAAAATAAGTTCAACTACTATTGGAACAAAATTCATCGAAAAACTCTTAGAAAAAATGTTTTTTTTTTCATCAAAAAAATTTATTTATCACTAAGCTTAAAACGAGATTATGGGTACATCGCATTTTAACTCTTAACCATTGTAACCATGGGTGCATAAAGAGCCTGCGCAACTCCCACCTACAGATTCAAATTAATAAATAAATTCCCTTATCGATAATTTTCTTTGCTTTAATTAACGATTTCCAGGATCCAGGAGTCTTAGGATCTGTTTATTTGCTGTGTTTTTATATCTGTGTATTATTATGATAATATTATTATTATGATAATATTATTATTATTATTAGGACAAGTTTAATTTCTGAAATTTTCTAAACGGACTACATTTTAGCCGAAAAAAAGAAATATACAAAAATTTACAAATTCCACCGCAGTTTCGATAGTTGGAGACGTCGAAAATATACTTTTTCTATTATCTGTTCTGTAATACGATCGGAATAAGATATACGGTTGGGTCCATTGCCGGTACGATATTGGACATGGCCAGCATGAAGCTCTAAAACAATTCGTGTTCCTTCCTTTGCAAATTATTCAAAGATAATTATATTCTAAAACGAGATAATAAGTAATATTGCTATTTACCTATTGCACGGCTTCTCTTTGCCTATAACTTTCTATCGACTGCGCCGATTTGTTCATCTGTTATGCTTTTTATTGTTTTTGTTAACTGTATCAGGCACTGGCCGAAGTTGCTACGAAGTAGTAGGAGCGGCCTAGGCAATAATGAAAGCGCACACCCGATGCAAATTCGGCTTGTGCACGTATACGCATACATCCGTAACGTTCGCAGAACAAACACGCACGCATACAAACCGATTTGATAATACTACATCGAGCTATTTAAATTCAATCTTGCGATGAGCTAATATTGATGGTGAATACAATTTTCTTCTTCTAGGCCTGTTAGCGCCGTGTTCAACTGGAATTTTTGCCGCTTCAGTCTCTCGATCAGGCACGTCAGATGCACTAGCACATATAAAGCATACAGGGCGGTGGCTCTAAATGAAAAATTTCAACGTTAATTTTTCTCCTGAGACTGTTTATATATAGACAAAAAACAGATATTTGAATTAAAAAAAGAGATAACAGTATAATTTCCGATAGTCATGTTTGTTCAACGTTATTGAAATCCACTACGATTACAGCTTCAAGTCTAGACCTAAGCCACTTCAGAATATTCTTTGTTTGATCCACAAGTATTTTTAATAGTAACCTTGCATTAAAGCGATATTTCCAGATGTCAACTGGTTAGAGCGTCACTTCAGATATGTCATACACATACGGAATGAAGTTTTACCAGTCAAAGGTAAGAGGTTAAAGACAACCAAAGATATGAAAGGCCTTTGGGGAAATTAACTGTTGGGGCCTGTTTGGGCACAATTGATGTTCCTTTCTTTAACGATTATTGATTTCTATAGCAAGAAAAAAACACTGATAGTGTATCAGAAGTTACTCTTTGAGACCTTAAAGACGCTTAAAACTGTTCCAATTTGCCTTTGAAAAGTCTATATCGGGGTCTTTGTAAGCCACGCGAAAACATAGCGATAAAGTAACACCGGACAGGGAAATTTTTTCAGTTTTTGTAGGGTTTTCGTATTACCGTAAGATTGAATAATATCTGATCTCGGCTTTCGAACTTTCGAAAACGACCCATTGTCGCTTTGTTTCAAAATGAATTGGTTATCGTCTAGCATTAATAGTAGCGGATGAATGCGCGATCGCCAAAGATTTGAGTGCATAGATACGCGCTGCATATTATCGCCTGTATGCAAGGCTTCCTTTCACCTATTGCGCAATAATTTTATCCTTGACAGGTAGCCACGTTACGACCAGACGCATTTGGTGTACTGAGAAATGGAACTAGTTTGCCAATTGTGGGCAAGTACAGAGTTAAGCCGGAGCTACCCATACGTCGTGAACTCGTCGGGGGATCCAAACGTACGGCTGTGCAATCGATTCAGCTGGACTATTTCGGTGACTCCTCTTACTGTATGCCGCTGTGTTACGGAAATGCCCCACCAGAGGACGCCAGTTGTACCAAAGTCATCTCGGTGATAGCTAACTCGAGCTATTCGACAGAAGCCAATTCGATTCATCGATTGTTGTCTCTACACGGTGGCCTTCACTAAATCATTGCTTTTTGTTCACCTTGTTTTTTGTTGCAGTAGCGATCTGCGCCTCTACTGGTAGCCTAGAGTGAGCTTTTGGCTTGCTCAGTGGCCTATTGGTGAGGCGCAGTGAAGGCTTTTCAACGCGTTTCTTTCGCCAAAACCGCGACCCGCGAGACCTTCTCACGCATTTAAGCGCTAGCTAGCTAGCTAGCTAGCTAGCTAGCTATGAAACCCCACAACAAACGAACTTGTGAATCTAAAGTCAATAGAGGTGGGCTCTCAACGACTATAAGCAGAGAACCGTTTGACATTACCGCCATTTCGATGCGGCCGGAATAGTTGGTTATCGGCTCATGCTTGGTCCATATGCTGAGTGATCGAACGTCTTCGGCAAAATGTTACTACTGTTCTTTATGAAGAAGCAACATCTCAGCGGCGATTGATAGACGACGGTTTACTCGTTCGCCACAGCGCAATCACAGCTGTTCATCGAATCGGACAAACGCACTTACTTCAGAGTTCCGAAATTTGCCATCTAGGAAAGTGTTTATGGATCTTCCTTCGTTTTCTCTTCTATTGCTCGCGTTCACTTACTGGCTGTGTTTCATTTGTCATGCTAGTTCTAATTCTTCCTACTATCGACTACGTGTAGCCATTACGATGATATGTCCATAGGCAACAATACTCCACCTTGGAGACCTGCTTAATAAACTCGAAACGTTGCTCTATTGGGTGCCATATGATACCATAACTAACCGGGTGACAGACAAATGATCTGATAAAGTATTATGTAAAAGATTCTCATGCTTATAGCAAACTCTTCTTTGATTATTCAAAAGACATTTGTCCTAAAGATCAACTCGACGGTACTTCGATAAATATGGTACGTATACGACGAATTAATGAAGTCGCTGGAAACCTACTATCAAGCTGGGATCGTCCAGGGTTGGTTAAACGCTGGTCTCCGATCCGTTATCGACGTAAGTTTAATCCGCACGTTCGTTCGGGAATATCAACTCTCTACATATATGAATATAGATCTGCCATTAGTTCGCTTACCTATATCAATCGCGTACAAAAAGTAAGCATAACTTACTAAAACTTAGCGAAATATTTTACAGGAAGATGTGTTAGTTTGTTGATGCCCAGCATAGGATTTCGTTCGTCGATCACCTAAATACGTCTTGGGAAAGCTGTTCTCAATGGACAACATTAGACGTACGTCGGCAGAAAATCCGTCAGCGAGCTAGTTTGAAAACTTCGATCGAAAACCAATTTTCTATTGGTCAGAACAGAAATTCCGGGAAATCAGCCGATCGGAAATAGCAAAAGTTGAAAGATCAAGTCATTATATCGAATTTGGCTGCTGGAATATCTGTCTAGTAAATTGCTATGGTCGAGGAAGTTGTGTCATGGTAATGCCTATGGTTACATGATTTGATTTGTATGTAGGATGTGAAACGTCAAACAGTGCGTTTATGTATACCGAAATAAAAAAAAAACCAGTCAAGATTGGACACCTGTAACTAACTGCACCGCTCTGTCATAAATAATGAAAATAGAAAATCGAATTCAGGCACTTCTACGGTAGATGCGTTTTATCTATAATAATATATTTCAATAGATGCAAAATACACATTTGTGCGCCGTGGATGGATGGGTGGTATTTGACGAATGAGATCGACCGGCGCGCGATTGGGTGGCTGAAGGTTTCCCTTGCAGCTCAGGAAATGGCTAAATATTAGCGGTATAGATTTTTATAGTTGCAATACAACATTTAGACCGCTCTTGTAACGTTGCAGGCTCAATTGGGCAGCACTGTCTTCATAATAAATAACTGTGTTGTTGGAAAAAAAAAGAGCTTTTCTAACATTTGTACTTCCTTGCACAACGGAGTGCAGGGTGGTGCCTACATGATCACTGATCTGTACAGGTCGGGTCTATACCTACACAGCATGTTCTTGTTTATTAAGGTAGACCTAGTGGGCCTAACTTTTAAGGTATGTCTAAGACTCAGTTCGGCGTAAACTACTGAAGTTCTTTTAAGGTCTTTTAAGAAACCTGACTGCGATTTATCTCGAGCAGCCATACAACAACAATAGTAATTTCAATCAAATTAATGATTATTTTGAGATGAATATCTTGGAATAGTGCATTGATAGTGATTAGTGAGACCCTTGTGGGGTTGTTCCTTTTCGTATGTCCATTGCAAGTATAGATTTGATGTCGCACCAACCGATCCAGACTTTAAAAAGGAAAAACCTCTGGTTGAGGGACAACAACACACAATTACGCAACCTGGGCGAGTTATATTACTTCATCCTCTTTACAATTCCCAGGAGAAGAAAATTGCTTGTAATACTAATACGTCCTACTTTGTTGTAAGATGTACTCCATTTATTATTCGTTCGTGAGCGTCGAGTTTGCGGGGGCATGTATTAGGCCACGGAATTCGAACCAGCAGACTCTAGTTTCGCAGTCTATTAGCCATCAGTACAAGGCCTAGCGAGGCCTATCTAACTTGCTGTGTTCCTAATCTTTTTCAAACATCGTTAGTTTCTTTCTGAAGGTATAATTTGAAAAGGCAGATGCTTTCGTTAGCTTTGTTACTTTGTCTTATTTCTGTATTGTTATTAAGATCGTTGTGTAATTGGTAGATGGAGGCTGTCACGAAAAAGAGGCCTGGTAGGTCTCTTCATTTAGAAGAAATGCTTTCCCAAACGATTTTGACGGCTCACTAGTTTCAAATTGATCTGATCGTCATCATCACCATCGGTTATCCCCATAATTTTTTCGCCTTCTTCTCTCATCGTACACGAAGAAGAAGGTTTAGGCAGCTTCTTCTGATGGCTACCCAGATTTCGGCGTAGATCATTCTATCTACCTATTTACCTACCGTCAGAACGAGCCAGATCGACTAAGCATTTCTTATATCACCCAGTCAAAATAGCTTACGACCGACAAGTTTTCGAACTTGAAGAGCGTTAGCTGCTCAGTTTGCTGTTTGGCAGTTGGGTGCTGATGTTGATCGCAGCGATCGCCGTCGCGAAGAGCATGTCCTTCTGAAGGCGGAGGAGGTACCGCCCCTCCCCGTCATGACCGTGGGCTCGTCGTGGGGGGTCCCGAAGAAACCCAAAGTCATGAGGACATCGAAGCACCCATCGCATGGCGGTAACGACCACATAGTATGCGGCTTACGGACAACTCCGGTGGTTGCGTTGGTCATGCCGATGCCACTATGGGATAGAAGAGAAACTGTAAAGAACTAAAGTCATCAACGACGAATGCCTCCTGCAAACAGCAGCGGCACCGGCGACCGCGAATAAGTCTAAAGAATAGCGCACGCCTTGCTCGTCCGTTGACGGCAACCGAGTACTAGCGAAAGCTCACCCAAGAAGAGATACGTAGGAGGTCCGGGGGTTAGTCAGGGGAGCAATGGGTGCTAGTACCGCAGTTGCCAGCGGTGGATTTCACGAACTTCGACTTTTTGGGCGGCCAGTATCAATGTGTAGCTTCGCAAATATCTGATACATACGGCCACTGAGAGACCGAAAAAGTCGGCCTTAAAATCTTGAACTCGTCCCTCAACAACGTATTGGACATCAGCCATAATAACGTCACCCATGGAAACGACAGTTTCAACATTAAGAGCTTAAGCAAGCCGGGAAGCCGAATATGGAGTGTGGGAATACAGTACCTACGAACTGGCCTGGCGTGGTTCCTCTCGCTGTAGCGAGCTACGATACCAACTTATAATAATTTCGAATACGCGTGTACGAATCGAATCTGTTGGCCTGCGGACATGCTAATTGTCGTTTCGAAACACTTGACTATGGAGCAGCTTTGCACTTAGGGGACTTTCGATCTGGATACTACACATCACTGTCGACTGGCCCCGCCAGCCGGTGTCGTCCTTTCTTATCTCTGTTTTAGGGCCAGAAATGGCATGCTAAAGGTAAGATTTTCCTACCTAAGCTAATTCAATCTGGACGACGAGTTTTTTGTGCTGATAACATTACGGATTAGGTTAGTTTTTAACATCTGATTATAATGTAAGCAATTGACGAGCATAAGCGTCTGATCAGATTGGACATTAAAAACAAGTCTGCTACAGAAGAGATTATTGGCGCCCACTTGAATTTACCTTTTAATGAAACGGTGCGTGTCGACGTATCGTAAACCCGCGAAATTTTTTGCGAAGCATGCTGAGTCCATGTTGTTCAACGAGCAGGAACATTTCCAATATTATCGAAGTTCTAGGCCATAGCGGAACATAATTTATTACGTATATATACTTGTCGTGTTTCGCTTGTTGTAATGGCGCACCTTAGAAGCTGCAAGGAGCAAACGATTTGATCAGCCTTGCACCGGCTGAAAACAACAGTCTACACTGTTACTTAGATAGGCAAAGAGCAATAAAAGTTGTGCCGTCCAAAGATGAACCCGTTTAATCATCAAATAATAACTCTATTTGGTGATCGGTCCATCGTTACCTCTCACACTCTGTTTATGAGCGATTCCTTTTTAACTCTTAACGCTATCCGTTGTCGATAGCTGATGGCAACAAACAGACGAATTAATCGTTTGTAATATTTGCATCACGAGGAGAATGGATTGAACCATTTAGTCCTATCAATTATCTAATAAAACATTCGTCAGCGGCTATAGTAGTCGATTATTCAGTCCACGAATTAAACAACAACTCTATAGAAAGCACGAGAAAATCTCATGAATTGAGATCTAATTCAGGCCGCCTTCCGGTGGCCACGAGTGAGGACGCACAATCAATTATCTACAAGGCTTCACAGGTAGTAACTGTTGCCATCGTGGAACTTGCCTTTCCGCAGTTGCGAATACTGCCGTGACGTGCAATGACTGTGAACGTTGTTCTTGTTATTGTTGCCACTGCTATTGTTGTTGTTGTTGTTGTTTCTGCCAGTGTGTGTAAGGATGTTCTTTAGTGTACACGATGTTCAGTAGGCTTTTTCGCTCAATCAGCACGACGCTGTTTATACTTCGTCTCCCATCGAAGTATCAGTTTCAAGCGTCGAAGCCCGGACGACGTCGACGACGAATCAGTCGACTCTGGCTCGTCTTTTCGTTATGTTGGCTATTCTACTGCTGAGGAAGCGACTTCGAGCGTGTACAACATAACAAGATGTTACGGCCAATGTTACTGTGCTATACATACGCCATTAACCGCATCCGCACCGGAGCAAATAACCGCATTACCGCGTCAGGCCATGAGCCGCGCTGGCGAGCTATATTAACGCATTCGCGGCCATCCTAGCATCGCTGACACCAGCAACAACTGGTAGAGGGTCGCAATAGGAGTCAGTCAATCCAGATCTGCTGTACCACGGGCGACGAATACGCTGCCGATCAAATGAACGAGGAACGGCCAATAATTTTCGCCCCGCCTGCACCGCGTCTCAACAGATTCTAGATAGCCAGGGCTTCAGTAACAAGAAATTTTTTAAGACAAACAAGCAGACACTCACACATATGCACACACTTCGAGGCTATACACGGAGTAAATTATAACGATAATAACTAAATAAATATTTATAGAGTCAATGATGTCGGTAACGCACACGTTTTTCTGAACAGAATGAAGACGTGTTGATGTCTTCGATTAAGCCTGTGCGGCTCCGTGTGCTTGCTTATAGGCACATCTAATAATGTGTGGTATATGTTTTCAATTTAAGTGTAAGGGTAAGTTTAACTTTTCCTGTACACAGAAAATGAAACGATTGACGTCTACGTGTCTATATTGCTATTGGGCCACTCTTCCCTAGTCAGTACTTCGCAACATACTTCTATCTTTCATATGCAGCGCATATACTAAAAACATGAGATGTGTAATTATACACAGTATTTTATGTATGATACACGTGTTATTTCTGAGTTCACTGTACCAGCCAGATCAAAGGCAAGTCTTAACTGGAAAAGCCCCAGGGCAAAGAAACAATAACTAATAAACAACTCAGTTGTTTCTGCAAAAGGTACGATAATGAGCTGACCTATTCGTTCAGAGATACGTGGACGGTCACTAAACGGGAGCATATCCGTAAGTGAAGAACGCCTGGGACCGAACGCTCGTAAGCTGAGATCAGGGTTGGCAATCGACTGACACGCAGCGCTATCAGACTAAAACCATGTTCTCTATACCAGTCTTCACAATTACATGTATACCCTGAGAGTTTATAATATTTTATATGAAATCTGAATAGAAATAAACATGGGCCTGCCATAAGGCCGAAAATTAATTTCGGCATTGCCAAGCGTGTCATGTATGACCATGTAATCTGTCTGTAATGCCATTTATTTTTCATTGGGCGATCTTTTGGAGCGCTAGTCAAAGACCTCGGTAGATTAAAAATGGTTGTTCTATGGTGACCACGTTACTAAGAAAGTGTAAACATTTCGTCAATTGATAAATAACATATGTAACTTGTCTAGGACAAATTAGGACATATTTAATGCTGCTCTTTTATGAAGTGCATTTAACATTTTCTATAAATGTTAATGGAAACATCATTTACAGACCTGTCCATTTGAAGATATCTTTTCTAAATTTCCGAATAACTTCTTGATGATAATCGTAAGTAAATTGATTAGAAAATATACGGCATTTTTGTACGGCCGTTTGTGAACTTCTGGTAGTTATTTTTCTACCGAGTATTGCCGAGGCAGCTCTATCCAAATCTCGGCTTCGTTCGACCTTTCTTAGTCGACACCAATACTTCAATGTTTCATTCTTAGAAAAAAAGTATCGTGTTTTTTTTTAATTTTTTTGTAGACAGCACCTTCCAATTTGGATAGCTACTAACATAAAGCAATATGTACTAAAGATGGGCTACTGTGATTGAAATTAGATAGGCGTATCTAGTTCTTAACTCATTTAGCTGCAAAACAGACCTTATAGGTCATCATTCACTTGCCACTTTGCCACCGTCCTGTTTGCATTTTTCGAAGAACAGTTCAGATAGCACGCATCCATGGCTAACCCTTCGTTGTTTTTAGTCGCTTTTTTTACTACTTGTAGTACTTGGATATATTATCATCTGTACAAAATGCTTTTTCTGTTCTGTAAAAGTTCCTAACTGGACCTATATTATAATAATAATAGAGTTAGACATTTTACTATAAAGGGTAAATTCACATTTTTTTTCTATAACCTGTTTATCGTACTTTTATTTCTCTTTATCTATTACTAGCTAATACTAATATGTTATTTCTAGCTATTACTTTTCTGCCAGAGGTGGGGTTATTGTGCTGTTGCAGGCTGGCCTTCTACGCCTAGCTGAAACTCAGTGTTTTCTTCAAACTACTTCTGATCTTTACTTCAGATTATCCTGCAGTCACATTTGTCCAGCATGAATATGATTGCACTCGTCAATGTAAGTCCGGTTCCCAGAGATCATTGCCACTGATCAAACTGGAAAAAAACTAACAAATATACTGTGTACGAACAAGCTCTTAAAAGATCTGTGTTATATACGATGGCTCTGTCATGATCCTCGCTAGTGTTGCTGCTGTTCGGTACATTGCAACTCTGAGGGCTACTATGAACATATTTCGTGCAACAGTACTAAGGGGTAGCGTTAATGTCGAGAATAAAATAGGCGCTAGTGGGGCTGTGGTCCGGGGCAAACAAGGACAGTTACGTTCAATGAACGCTAAAGTAGCTAGCATGCAAGCTGGGCCGATGCGGCAACGACGAAGGCAAGAAAGACAACCTCATAATGATTATATGAGATGAGTCGTTTTCAACGACCATCGGCCTATTACTGCCGTCTAATCACTCCGAAACGCTGTTTCATCGCGTCTCGAGCGACGCCACCGTCCAATTTTCTGTTCATTCGGAGACGCATTACGAGGAGACCTGATAAAACAGCCAGCTCGAACAATAACATCAGCAACAGATAACAAAATCTGTAGCATAACGGTTAATACGAACCGGTGTCATGTACGCTCATGTAATATCCCATAGAAACAACACACTAACAAAGCACACGTAAATGAGTTGATATTTTCTCTTCGTGGAACGCATCAACTCTACGCCACAGCAGCAACAATCAATGGCTTCACAATCTGGTAATTTCTCAATTAATAGAATTGTTCATCTCTTCGTTCCTTCCTGTCCGACAATCGTAGCAGCAAACGTTTTGCGGCGGCGGAGTCAGGCCTCCCATTTTGCCCTCACCACTACCGCCACCACGAAAAACAACTGAGGAAGCGAGAGAGTGAGAGAGAGAGAGAATTTGAAGCCGCCATTGACAGCGGCGGTCCTCCGACCACCCAGTGTAACGACCGGCCCACCAAGAAACAGTTCACCAGCGCTAGTCAGGGCAGGCGCAGGCGCCCAACAAGCCGCGCGAAACGTTTTAGTCACCCCCGTCGTCGCCGCCGCCGCCGCCGCCGCCATTGCTGTTATCTTTCCTGTTGAGCATCTTTTTTTGCCATAGCTCAACATCTCTTCGCCTTGCTGTTGCTACCGTCGTCTTTGTAAACCATTACGACTGTTGCCGCGACAACGCTGATGGCAGACAGCGGCCCTGGCTACAGCCTAGAACAACAACAATAACATATAATAGATAATGCATGTTTGTGTACGGTGCGTACTATTATTCATATGCACGATCGTTTCTGCTGTTGATGTTGCGTCAGTTAATAGTATCCTGATAGCTCGAGCCACCATCAGCACTCTGCCTTGAACAGGCGGCGTACAGGCCGTCTATCTGTCTGTACGTTTGCCTGTCGTTTCGTCCATGGCCGATACTCGCCGTTAGCTAGTCTCGCAGATGAGAGAAGTGCATGTGCTCAAACCCAACTGAGGCTGGATAAATCGGCATATTCCAGCTCGTTCTATAGGCGCAACGGCCTGGCGTCTGCAACTATCCGCGGTTCGCTAGCACCACAAATAGACATCAACAAATACATAGACATTGACGTCGTGCATAGCCATAGGAACTCTCGCTTGCGCAGTCTCACATAGGCGAATTGGATGTATTAGACAAACATTCGAATAGCGGCGGCAACTAGAGCAGCAGCGGTGGCGCCCAAATACCACACAGCATAGCCCAGCATACGCGAGCCGTTGGATGGCTGTCTGCTTATTGTGCGGAGACTTTCGACACGTATTCAGAGATACAAACAGACATCCACCCACCCACCCACTGGGCACTGCCCAACAAGCCAACTCATGGAACCTATGCTTAGATAGTATAGCCAACAGCGATTCAAACTTGTTTTGTTGCTGCTACCGCCGCTGCTGCTGCTGCTGCTGCTATTTTGAACGCTAGCTATCGGCCGTCTTCACCACCGGCACCCTCTCCGGAACCCGCAGGCTGTGCGATCCGCCCTTTTGTCCGGGGCACCAATAGGCGCAGGCCGTCGATGAGGCTCCGCCCAGGGACAACTTACGCATCGACCCGATGTGGTCGCAACGAAATCTCGATTTGAACGAAACCAAACAAGCATCGGCAATTTTTCGCGATTTTCTGACTTAGGTTCCTCCTGACAACGAGCTGATGCTGGTGTCGGCCCGCTGAACGGCCACCCGATTCTCGACGCGGCCGCTGCTGCTGCTGTTTTTGCTTGCTGATATGACAGCGAATATCGCCAGTTGTAATATTGTGTGTGCGTGAACGGGAGGAAGCGCTCGTGGCAGTCTGTGGTCGTTGTAGTAGTGCTGTAACGGCTGTCTGATTGTCTGCCATCCATCTGTTGCTAGTACAGTTTTTAGTATTGTAATGGAAAAGACACCAGGTTCGGCGTTAATCGACGGCTCTGAGAGATACGCTGACTGACTACATCAAGGGAAAAGTTAAACATTACGTTATAGTACATATCGAATGCGTTTGGATTGCGAAAACGAATACTGAGCGACGACGAAGACGACGACGACGACGACGACGACAACTACGACGACGACGACGACGACGACGACGACGACAACGACGATAACGACGAGAACGACGACAACTACGACGACGACGACGACGACGACGACGACGACGACGACGACGACGACGAAGACGACGACGACGACGACTACGACGACGACGACGACGACGACGGCGACGGCAACAACAATATTAAGTTACACAGTTTTGATTGTTGTTTGTTGGTCGGTACTCTGTCTGTGAGTTCATACAGGGCTGTTGTCGATGAAAGTGTGTGTTACATTGATTGTTTGGCGCATACGTACCGCTTACGAGGCTCACACCATTGAGGAAATGACTGGCTGCACCAACCCCACTACAACTAAACACTGCAACCCCAGTTCTGCATGATTATCGTACCTTGCGGTATCACTGCGGCTAGTACTTATCGAACAAGGAAGTGCCATCTCTGGAAAACAACACCAGCTGATTCGAACGGAGACTGAGAGCTCGCTGCTGTGTGAATGCAAATAGAAGTTAGTGCAATATCTGCACAACAGCAAATAACAGACAGTTTCTATATAGAAAACTCTCCAGATGTGAGATTAGCGACGTACGCCTCCGGGCAGCCCTGACACCTATAATGGCCGCCTTGAAAATGGCCTTTTACTTTTGAACACAAATTTATAGTGATACCGGAATGCAAAGAAATTTATCTCAAAGTGGTTACTGAGCTCGTGCTACGATAAAGTGCTCGTCGGCTCTAGAACTCGGCCCGGCCAGTTCTATTAGAGAAGGAATAATATTCCAGGCTACCAATAACACTCGGATATTGAGAGGAAAACTTCAGCTGAGAGAGCGTCGGCAGTAGGACTTACTGGAAGGCGCAAAAGCGCATAAGTCAGCCGACGGCGACAGGCCAGAAAAACAAGCGATACAAACAACTCTGTATATATATATACATATATATAGATATATATATATATATATATATATATATATATATGTATATATAGTATTCAGTAGGTTAATTAAACAAACGCGCGTATCTCTGTATGAAAAATACGGACGAGAAATATATGGAAATTTGAAGACGACAAAAATTGTTAATGTATAAGTGGTACAAGCAAATGAAACAGCAACTGTAGGTAAATCGAATAGCAACAAGGCGTAATATTTAGATCTCGTGCAATCTACAGCTACCCTGAATCCTACCTCTGCCTGTTAATATCATTGCCGTGCCTATGCTTTTACCAGGACATGTTCCGCCTTAAGTAGCTGCGTCGTATGTAACTTTGGTTCATCTCGGCAAGCTTCTCGGTTAACGCTTAACAGCCAGTTCTCCCTGACTAAACAGTGTATATGTTTACCGCTCTGGACCTTTGATTGCATTAAGAAGAATTGTGCATTATCACTGATTGGCTAATGTGCTAAGGTGTATTGTTATTACCTACACGGACCCAGCGTAGTGTCTCGGAGTTGTCTGGACTAGTCACATTCGAAGTGGTTTTTCTACATACAAAATAATCTCGTGCAGTCAACTGATCTCTTATTTCGTCTTCCTCGCTTGTCCTTAGCTCCTGTTTGAGACAAAGTCAAAATTGATCGAAATCGCAACACGAACAAGGTAATCCCTTGTTTTTTGTACTGTGGTAAGTTGAAACGTTATGTTCTGCTACATGTTATCGGCCGCCCAGGCCATCCTGCGGCAGCAAGCCCTCCTTGAGAGCACGGGTCAGCCAACGCTGGGTCCCGAGCCGAGACTCGCGCCGGTTGTGGGGGATGTAGGCCTACAGGACAGCTTGCGGGCGTCTACCGAATCGAAGGAGCTTGAGGCCGAAGATGACGTCTCCGTCGATGATGATGAACCAACGGTGACGGCGGCTAACAATGGAGACGAAATGGAGCGAGTTGCAAAGGCCAGCCCCGAGGATCAAGGTGAACAGGAAGCCGCCGGTTCCGAGGATGAACCTCCTCGGCCAAGTGAGCCCCAAGAGGAGACCGAAGATGACCCAAACAACTGTGACCCCCAATCGAATAAATGGCGCGGCGCAGAAAAAGATCTCAAATTTTCGATTGAGAAAATTCTCTCGCCAGCATTTGGCAATGATTTCTGGGCGCAATTCCCATTCTACCGGCCGGAGGTGGACTTTCTCCAGCTGCAGAGTCTGGCCGGTAATCTTCAACGACTCCAACAACTGCATGCCGAACAGGCAAAGTTGAGCGCCGCAGCGGCAGCAGCGTCTGCACAAAGCACAGCGGGCCACATTAACCATGCAGCTGTTGCAGCAGCTGCCGCTGCTGGACACGGTGGCCATTTGCAGGCAATGCAGAGTCTTGCAACCTTGCAAAACTGCCTCAAAGCAAGTATACAGCAGCCTCATGCTACAGCTTTGAACGGATTAAACGCCTTACATCATGTCACTGGTCGGCAGTCGTCTGAAACATTGCCGGGTAGTGCCCTCAACAACCTTCAGTTATCCGCGCTACAGTCGATGCAACAATTGCAAAGTCTCCAATTAATACAAAGCCGAAAATCGCCCGAAAGCAGAAAACGGCGGAGAAGCTCGGATGAACCGACTTCGCCAGCGCGAACGCCTGAGGTAACGTCGCCTCAGTCTGGCGCAAGCACCGCGGCAACTGCGGCGCGCATCGAAAGGCACGAAGATTCGGAAAGTCAGGACACCGTCGCTGACGATTCGAGACTGAAGAGCTCAGAAGAAGGTTCAAATACGGGCGAAGAAGTTGTAGGAGTTGATAAGCGAGGTCTGTGGCCTGCCTGGGTGTACTGTACACGATACTCGGATCGGCCGTCCAGCGGTAAGTGGAATACGACAAGACAGGTGAAAACTTGTTTTTTAGAAATTGTTGTGTGTAGAGTTTGCTTTATCTGCAGGGGTTCACGAGCTTCGAATAATCCGCGTATTTATACTTCACTATGAAATTACATAGCCGTCAGTCTCGGGTTGATTTGCAGATAATTACGCCTTCGCCTAAGTGGCGAAGCGAGGTTTTGCGCCATGATATATTGTTTAGAAAAAAATCTTGTATCGTAATGAGTCCATTATTCGGAACTCAGCTAGCTATCATATTGGGCAATTTAGAAAATACTCAACTTCTTTTTCATCGTTGAGCAACTGTGACCCTTTTGTTTCAAAAAAAACAACCTTTATTTGCACAAGGAGTCTACATTCTTAACGGATTCAAGTGGCAAATGTTTACATTCAGAGCTCAGAACATAGAAATTTCCTAATTATCGATACATCATTAACGTTTACGCTGAGCAAACAGTAAAACAAAGCAAGCAAAGATTATTTCACCATAAAACGGTGGTCAAATGTAAGTAAGATGGCAGAGATCATTATTGTTCATTTTATTTGCCCAATGGTCGATACGGCCTCCTTCTTTCGGATTTACACGTTTCTCACATGGTACTTCAACCAATGGAATGGTGGACAAAATGTTAGCGAGCTTACTTTAATTGGAGTACAACATTCCAACAAGATGCAAAAAGAAGGAGAATACTACAAATTTGTTCCCAGCCTTTCAAAATTGATAGCTTTCGTGGTATGCCCATTTCTATTTTTTGACCTCGAAAATTTTAATTTATTTTCCTGGATATCGATATCCATTGCTCGTTCTTTTTTACCCAAGACCCAGTCTTTGTAATCGGTGAATATCGCGCATACTCATCTCCACTCTCTCAGCTGCATAATGGCTGCTCCCTTCGAATTCGCTATTCCCTGAACAACGCGCCAGCCGTACGCTCATTATTGTTACATACAATCATCTGTTAATTGACTGTATTGTTATGTACATGTTACCCCTGTTAGCTGGTTGTACACAAGACGTCTGAAGATCATTGAAGACAAATAGTTGGAAGAGCAACAATTACGTAGCGCGCACAGAAACCCCCACTTGATGTATGACTATACCTGTTTGTAACGTTACCGAGCGGCGTCCCGACTTCAGCTCAAAAATGGGTAACGAACGCTTTTAATTCGATATAGCCGGCCCAAGCCCGAAAAACCATCACTCTTGTCGCTTTGTCAGCGCGTACGGATTGCGAGTTCATCTTGTCTACTTCTTAGCGCAATTTCGAGCAGGATTGTTGACTGTTGAAGAGCGCAACATACGAATGGTTCACGTTGCAACAAACCACTCAGCGCAGCTAATGCTCTCTGTTCCACTCGTCAAAGTACACCCCAAGCCTGACATTAGCGTCGACTCGTTGGGTTCGCAGAGAGGCAGACAACACACACGGAAAACGCGTGTCTTCTTCATGGTGTTGTCGTTGTTGATGCTGCTGTCGTTTGTTGTAGTTGTTTCAATTGACCCGACAAGTGAACGAGCCAGGCTGCAGAATAATGCACCCGATAATAGATAGATTATTATTATTATTATCAATGCTGTATAGGGTAGCGACAACCGCCGAGATATGGCGCGGCCGCCGCAAATGCCGTCCACTCCGATACCCGTCCCTCAGTCAGTGTTGTTGGGGCAGTCGGCTAGCTAGTGTCAGATAAAGGGAAGAGCCAGTAGACGCGTGAAGCAGAAGTTGAGAGTCGTAAGCATCGTTTTGTACGCGATGGATTATACATTTACACTAGCGCTGTTACAACTTTAACTTCTATTACATTGTTATGACATGGATCAGTGCTGCCGAGAGTAGCGTTTCGTAAAGGAGAAACGAACTCGCATCTTTATTACCGCTATTATCACTACGACTATTATCGTTATCATTCTAGTTATCAGTATGATCATTACTTGATTGTTGAATTACTTTTGACAGCGGAAATGGACACAAAGGGTGTTCGTTGACGTGCGCTTTCATAATAACGTGCAGCGTCACAGCGACGACACTAGCTACGCTGGAAAACACGTGGTTGGAGGAAGCATTATTGCTTGTTCTTGACTGTTTCATTTCATAACCAGATCAGCTTTGATTCACTCGAAGCCGACGACGACGGGAACAGCAATGATCACACATGAGCAACATTAGCATACGTTATAGAAAAAGATTACTTCGCATAGGTGGTGACAAATCTCTGCCGACGAATCATCTACTCGAGCATTAGTTGTCGAAACTAGCTCGTCAACATGATCAGACATAATCGGAAAGAATTATCCAAGATGCTCACCGACGGCCATGTTTCCGTCGTAGCACATTATAGCGAAGCTGCACAAAACAGCCAGACGGTTCGGGCGCTCAATTGATTTAGTCGTCGACGAATCCGTTGCGGTCGATTAAAGAAGGCAACTTCAGAAATACTTCTGCTGGCGCTTCTAGTAGAATGGAACGTACTTCCAGAATGAGAACGAAATAGCTTGGAGATGATAACTTGCCAATGGTAGTAGAACGGTCATCTTAGAGGCCGCTATTCTTTTCCTTAAGTCCTATTAAAGAGCGGCAATTGCAACTGTCAATAATGAGGCAGGAAACGCTGCGCGAGGAAGATGAATGGAGCAGATTATAAATTAAATGTAGCTTAGCTCATGAAGATCCCGCCTGCTGACGAAAATCGTGGTGAGGATGAATCATAGCAAAAAAAATCACAATAACGATAACGCTACCACTTCTGCGACAACTACGAGAACGGTTAACGGCCGCAGTTAAGCCCAGTTAACGACTTTAACCTGACAAACCTACTACTATTTGATGCTTGACCCTGTGAAGATTTGGGCTGCAATAGGTTCAAATCGATGCTTATCAACGTCCAACGAGAGGCAAGTTACTGTGACGATAAAAGTCGTAACTGAAAGCAGAGAAAAAGTTCTGATTAGCGTAATAATAACGATACACAAAGATGTACATTAGAAATAAAGCTAAATTTCTTGTTTTACTGCAGAGATTCGATTGTTGGCCTTATTACTGGAAGAGGTTCTCTGAAATTCTGAATCGATCCTTAACGTCAATAGTACTGGACACAAAATCCGAAATATTTACTCAGCCAACGCCAGCAACTATTACATACGTTTCAGTTACCCCAGTCGAGTATGTATTCTTGCGTACGTCGTATGTTGCTATCTCTACTATGGAGATAGAGTTTTAGTTAGAACACCATAACGTACGGCTGTTTGTAGCAACAACGAATTTACGAATCATTTTGTAGGCTGTGGACATGTGCAAATGTCATACGCTGTGTTACTACAACAAGTTTCTTGTCTCATTGTGTTGTTGTTACGTGAACTTACCCGCACGTTTCTACCCGGTCAGCGCTCCAACAGCGGAAAAACAGTATCCTATTCTCTAGACCTCTGTAGCACTCGTATCTGTCACTGCAATATGGCAGAAGATACCTTCCGTCTTCCTAAGCGGCGCTCGGTTGTGTTTCTTTTGCTCATATACACACCGAACTGTTCGTACTAACGCGGACAGACCTTTTGCCTTACCTGCCACGAGTGCCGCTGGCAGTAATGTCGGCGCCGTTTGCTTGCCTTCGCTTGTTGCGAGTACTGGTAATGCGAAACGACCATTTCAGTTGACAACAACTTGGACTCTGTTTGACTGATAGAACAGCTGACGGCGTCACTGACTCTTCGACTACAATAGAAATAATGGATCGGTCACATTTAGTTCTGCGTCCGCCGTTGCCGGGCCATTCGAACGCTCGGCCGCTCTCGTAAACAAGCTAGACAACTATACGTATATATGGACAAATACAGAGACAAGGTCGTCAAAAACGCATATGGTCGTCCTTATAATTCTAATAATAGTAAGTGGGTGAGTGAATGAGCATGTACGAATGTTTTCTCAGTACTGATCGCTACCATCATATTGCCCTGTAGCTGTGCGCGTCGTTCTGCAACAACGAACGACGCAAGGAGAGGCGACAGCCCTACTACTAGTCACAACCTCTATTCTACATGTAGCTACTACACACATACGTTCGGACAGCCAGTCGTTTTCCCCAGCGTAATCAGCTCTCGTGCTGGCCTCCGTTTCGCAGCGGGCCAGAGGTCGCTGCTGGCTAGCTTGTTATTCTTCGCGAACATTATTATTATTATCATCATTATTATTATTGCAGCCGTCGGCAATCGAAGATGAATAAGCCTGTTCGATTGTTGAGCACCCGCCTCGTCGTAGACGATGTATTCAGCATGTTGCTGCTTGCTCGACTTGCCAGTTCTCGTGTTGCTGCTACCACCGCCGCCGCAAACCGCACACACAGGCAAACAGACAGTCGCACATCAGATATACGCTTCGTTTGTCCGGAGCCATTCGTTTCCATTCGTTCACTCATTTGTGCACAAATCCCAGACGCAAGTATATACCCTGCATGTGACGCTGATACTGCTGTTATAGGGTAAAGGGGAAGGGAGGGCCTGCTGGTCGGCCTACTCGTGCAGCCGATGTACCATAATATGGCCTTTCATACGAGCGAACTCCACACTTGCATATCTACAGGCAGCACACGCGGAAGCTCTCACACTCAGCAGCTCACACATCCTTGATCCCCCCCCCCCCCCCCCCCCGGGGGTTGAACTACAAGTCGTCGGGCCGAGCTCGACCGTATTAAGAAGAGCTAAGCGGACCACGATAGCTGAGGGCGGCACGTCGCCGCGGTGGTGGCGTCTGCGCGCTCGGGATGCTCGGGGCGGTGTTTCTTCTCGGAGAGCGCGCTGCTACAGCTTCCCTCTACAGCGTCCGATTCTCTTGTGTGCTTGCTAGCTAGCCAGCCTACGAGCCAAAGAGTGTACGCCAAAGAACGAACGCCGCCAAGACAATCCCTCGGTCGGTTGCGCTCTTATTAAATTTAGTAGTAGTAGTAGTATAACACACTAGATGGACACACATAGGCACAGCTCCAACTCGATAT